GGCTATTAAGTTTGAGATACATTTTAATATTATCTTCCCATCTACGCCTAATTCTCCCAAAGGGTCGCTTCCTTTCTCATTCGTATTATTTGACCACTCTAATAATATTTTATTAATACAACATGAATATTAGTATTTATAAATTTAACACTTTCATTACAAACATTATAGAGTTTCGTTAGTAGCTTTAAACATTTGAAGTTTTCTTGAGGGCAGAGACGCTCTTGAAAGGCAGTCGATTCTGAATGAGACATGCATTCTGCTGCTACCTTTTGGCTGGAACGTAAAGTGAATTAGTTTCCAGCACACCTTGTAGGTGGCAACACGTGCTAGAGATCAGTAACTGTTTACAAAAACAGCAACACAGTAATTAATTAATCGACGCAAAAAACAGCCAGGATTGTAAAGTATAATGTGCGCTTAACAGGCAGAAACAAAGCTAAACTGACAAACGTACTTATTTGAGATGATATATATGGAAGCAAAGTTCGTCATTAAACTGAATCATTATGGCCGCGGTAGACTTGTTTTTTACATAAAATATTAAATTCGCATGCTGTTATCCATCGTTAGATTATAATTATCCAAAACGTGTTACGGGATAAATAATGTAGTGATTCTGAGACCTCACTCTTTATTGTTACAGACATTAAAAGAAAATTTAAGTCCTAACTTGATTACATCAGAGACAGTTTGTAATAAAACACTGAAAAACGGATCTGATTTCAGTGCGAAGTATGACGCTGTTTTTATATTTTGTATTTTTATAAATATGGCGATCTTCTGCCGAGAAAATGATGCGTCCAGTTTCTCAAGCATGGTTACTACAGATTCCTTAGGAGTTTCCCTATCAACTGGCGTCGCCACTTGCAACTTGTAAGCATTCAGACACAAAAAGATTTCGTAACGCCCGATGCACTGTCGAATACGCCATTTGCAACTCACGTACTGCAGCTCGTGTCGACTTACGTGGACTGCGTGTCATTTCAACATCTTCTTCAGTCACTCCAGTCTTCTTAAACTGTTTGTACCAATCACGTATCGACGGTAAAGTTTCTATTCACGAGTAAAGTTGTAAAGATAATTTATATACAATCTGTACTTTTCGTTCATCAGAGATGTCACGTAAAATTATTTCCTGGTGACCGCTGATTAAAACGTTTTTTATGTCATGCGTGAAAGAACACTTACTTTTCTCTCAGTGTTGATCACCTTCAGGATAATGAGATATTGGTTTGTCCCAGACAGTAGAGGTTTATCGCCGGTTTGACAATGGGATATGGTAAATACTGCAACACAAACAGTAGCACTGCTTTGAAATGCGTGTGACAGGAATGTTAATGGCGATCACAGTACCACTTAACAGCAGGTAGATTTAAGGTGGATCAAGGTAAAACTAATTTGCTTCTCAACTCTACTGAACAGGGTCTGCCTTGAGCGGACGATTGTAGTTTGCTATTGAAAAACGTATATTATAATACATGTAGATTAATTCTTGTATATTTGTTTTTTTTATTATACTCGTAATTGATGTTAAGAAGACCATGGAATTTGTTGGTTTTTTCTTGTTGACGGCCCGCAGTTTGTGAGTTTAGGTTAGGTTAGGTTGGGTTGTAGAAACTGTAATTTCTGGTACGGATTAGACCTAAACCTTTGAGATTCATTCTAATTGTAAAACAAGAAACAAACGAGATGCACACTTGCGAAGAAGACATTGGTACAAGCAGTTTGAAATTCAGCAGGTAAAAGTGATATAACTGAACCAGTTTTAAGGTACAAAATGACTTTCGCTTTCGCGTTACTTTTTTCTTTCTTTCTGTGCCACAAGAATGCTAACGGTTCATTTGATATTTGCGTCACCTTCCCAGAACATGTTATGGCATGCAGTTGATAGAATTTTTCAGTTACGTTCTAAAGGGCACTTCAAGTAGAAGTCCGGCAATAAGCTCATTAATATACATGAACTTCAACTGTAGCAAATGTTTCATTTAATGACGTTTTTCAAGCTGCTCTGGCTGTAAAATTAGGTCAAGTTCTTATGTCGAAGATAATCTCTCTTTTTTTCATTACTGTAACAGAAGTTTTAGAGTCCATAAGCTTTTAAATCATTAAACTTTTTTTCGTTACTGTTAGTTTGTTTCAATGGTAATGGATACCAACTGTTATTGCTGAAACCGTTCATAGATGGCGGGACACTTTCGTACTGGAATCATGTTAACCGCTAAATAACTCCAGGCGCAGAGATTTCAAGTAATGTGTCTACTGCTTATATTACAAGTTGTTAAAACAGTGATGCTTACCTGCATTGAAACTATACACGTGTTCTAAGGCTTGTCTAGGCACAAATAAGTGGCCAAACTTAATTTGCTGTCATTTTACTTATTTTTTATTAAATGAAAGATTGCTATTTTATGACCAGTTGTATTATCGTTAGCTTCTCGACAAGGACTCATTCAATACGTAATAGTTAAAAAAATTCGAAAGTTTTTGATGTTGTCATCATCCCTAAACCCAATATCTTAACCGAGACTCGAACTCAGAACACTATTTTCGCGTTAACAACCTCTTTTTCTTTAATTTACCCGCCGAAATAAACAACTCCAATTTTTGCTATGTTCTTCTAGTTCGTTAGTGTTTAGTTTCCAAAATACAGAAAACACCCTTACCGGTTTTCGACCCCAGGACATAGTTTCTGGACTTTTGACCTTTCTAAAACATTTTACTGGTTTCAAGGAATAAGCATGCCAAGTTTGGTGCAGATCGGTATGTCCCTTCTCGAGCTGTAGGCGAATATAACACACATATAACCATAATTTCGATTTTTTTGTCTTGGCAACGTGTCTGCCTTTGGCTACCGATCTGAATCCTGTACCAGCGGAATAACTTGTCTTAATTTTTGTGGCCGGTTTTTTTTTATTTAGCCGTCAATTATGATTGGCAATTCGTACTGACACACAGAAGCTTAAAGCAAGTTTAAAGGGTTCCTGCAAGAGGGACATAACTAACATACATCTGGTAGTTGAACCAGAATATTCACGCATTTCTAATATCAAGCCTCGTCATTGGATACGATCCTCAGTCTGCCGCCCACTTTCCTAACTATTTCTAAAGATCCACTTTAATTCTGCATTTCATGTCCTTGGTTTTGCAAATTGACGTTTTTTAAAATGTTTAATTCTGAAATTCTGAACTGTGTAAATTCCCATCACCGAATAGTCTTCGCTACATTTGTCTTCTACAGTCACCCCACTTTTTCATTCGACATTAAGGAAAATACCTTCATGTTAAAAACGTCTGGATGTGAAATAAACACGGGATAATTTATGTAAATTATTGTTAAACTGTGTTCACGGACGCTACAAATGACGAACTATAAATCACACTAATTGAGTACCAAGACATCTGGCGTAGTTATCGAATCAAGTTTTGATTTCCATCTTATTGCTATGGACCCTTATTGCTAGGGAAGCTGACAGGTCGTATTAATCTAGTGGCACTAACGTTAAGAATATGTGGAGTCTTACTATGCCCTCTATACGCCTTCACACCTTGGTTCTTCGGCACAGAGACATTTATTGAAAAGCTGAGATGGAGAGTGTTTGAGACGAGGTATCGGGACGTAAGAGAGTAAAGTAATAAAATTAAGAAAATTGTATGTGGAGGCTCAATATAATATGCACTTTTCATTTATTATTATTATCATATTTATTCACCATTTATAAGGTATTTACTTCTATGTACCTGAGATAAAACTTGCAGCTATTTCTGAAATACGTTGTTTTTTAATACGTGTTGCATGCATTAAACAGTTTTCGCGTGAGGCTTTATATATTTTACATGAGCGTCTCTCGAATGATGTATGAGATCCTAAAATGGCGGATTTCTGAAGTTCCCTGATGTGTTCGCCCGGGATGTTGGCCAAATATTTTCTAAGTGACACGGAGACAGTTCCAGTTGCTCCTATAATTATTGGAATTACTTTCCACGTACGCTGTATTTCAGTGAGAAGGTCCTCGTATTTCAAGATATTATTATTATTATTATTGTTAATTTAGCAGGAAAAAATGGGTGATTCATGTAACACACGCTGGAAATTATAATTACAGAAGTTTGGAAACTACCGTGGAAACAGACCATTTAGAATAGCTAGTTATAGTTGGGAGGATAATATTAAAATGTATTTTATAGCTATATATTATGAAGATGTAAACATGATTTAAGGGGTTAAAAATGCGGTCATGCGCTGCATTGTACTGTCTCGCAGTGGGGTGTAACCTGTATGTCATTGTAATTACGTACGTTTTCATCCGTCACTAAAAGGCCTCCCACCGAACTGAAAGGCGGATGTAATCACGTTATTCATGCCAGTTTGCACCATGAACTATTTAACATCATTTAAAATCACGACGTGAATAGTTATCGACTGAAGATGCATAAAAGTCTGGCAATTACAAACTGACTGGCTACGTGCTGAACGAATGGGATTCGATGTTGGTCAGGTGCACAGATATTTTTATTCACCACAACATTCGGGAAGATACTGGAGCCCATCCAGAATCATATCACCGGGAATTCTTACCCCGAGGGTAAGGCGACCGGAGCGTGAAGGTGACGGCTCACCTCTATGTAGTGCCGAGGTTTAAAATATATCGAGCTCCAAGATGGCTGCCTTCTGGATTCTAAAGCCGTGCAGTCTGGTAGAAGGTTACCGACGTTTCGGAGGTCGTCAGGGCGATGATTGAGGCAGCAAGGACCTCTGTAACGTTGGTAAACTCCTACCACACCCTCGGCGCTGCAATCCAGAAGACAGCCATCTTGGATTCACCGCCGTGAAAACTCAAATCCTGCATATGGAGGTCTAACTTCACATCCCATGTACATATTTAAACGCAGGGCTAACATCACGTTTTCATCCTTGAACATCGTGCATGACCTACAGGGACCAGACAATGACGCATGTAGACAGCCAGCGTCGGTAGTGCAGTTTGGAAGTTTTGTTCTGCAACGCACAAGTCTCTGGCAGCCTTGAATCTCCCACTGGACTACCGTCGGGGCAGTTTCTCTATATATAAGCCTGCGCGTTGCTGCTAGCAACTGTTTTCTCGTGTCAAGCTCCAACGCATTGTCTCGCCATGGGACCGTCTCGAATAATTGTAAGTTCACGGTAATTTATATACTTTATAAGTTTATTACAGTTAATTATAGGTTAGCTGTTGTTATGTTTTCGTTTAGGTTCAGTAAAAACATGGAACTGTTTTGGTTTTGAGGTCAAGGATGAATTCTGAACTTTGTTGGTGTTTTATTGGCGTTGTAACTGTAATACTGCCCTCATGATATTTCAAACGGACCAATTTGTGTGCTTTGTTATATGAGTAATTTTTTATTTGATAGTGTAGGATTTAATCAAGTTATTTGTCATCAGAATTTAGAGATTTAGGCCTGAAAGTAAACATTTCATTCTAGCTGGAATCAAATAGCGACTATTTTTAAGGAAATATGCATGGTGGTGCTTCAAATTTTGGTGATTACTTGCCTGACAGAAAAAATTCTCGCCTTTTTTTAATTAAGGAAATTGCAGCGTTAAATCCGCCACTGGACCCCATTCTGGGCTCTAATACCTAATCCACACCATCGCAACTTGATTGTCTAAAACTTGTGTTATCTCTCATCTATGCTTTAGGTAGTAATTCTCCCTTAATATTTTCTGATTAAAATTCTGCATATATTTTCCATTTCGATAACTGATGTGACGAATTTAACAGTGTATTTCCTATATAATAAATTATAAAATTGTATACGAATCTCATTTAAAATATGTATAAATAATTAACCATGATACCTTGTAGTTTTCATTTATATGATTGCTACATTCCCACATTTAATTTAATAGACATGCTATCAATGCTTTCTTTAATTAAGCGGTGCATAAGTGAGCTCATAATTTCAAGGTCTTGACTGTTTTTTTACATGTTTATCCTCTAAAATTGCCCAATAAATTTCGATTAAATTTCGTATTTGTTGGCTAAGCTACGAGTTGTTAGAATCGATTACATATAGCCCGTAATTTGCACGAATCTTAAATTGAAAGCCATATATATTTTTTCAAACTGAAACAGTTGATAGTGTCACGCACAGCATTAAAATAGGTTTTTTTTAAAGATGTACTAAGTTAACGCTTAACAAATGTGCCTATCGCTACTCCCCCCACTTTCTCTCTTCTCTCTCTCTCTCTAAGTGTATGCAGTGTGACCTTGTATAAACGTATTAGCGTTATTTGCATTATCATACCTCCGAATAATTTCATAATGAGCAGTTTTATAATTATCATATGTATATATTCTTCAGAAGATAGTATTAGGACGGTCAAACAAAACAGGTTAAGCATTTAGCATGCAATGCTAGGGACGAAAATTACGTACAGAACTTTAGTCGGAAAACCTGAAGAGAAAATATCACTTGGAAGACCTGGAAGTAGATGGAAGAATGATGTTGAAACGGAAATAGAAAATCGGATGGAATGACCTAGTAAAAGTATATTTATTTAGATCATCATAGGGGCTATTTTCGGGCTTTTGTAAACACAGTTATGACCCTATTGGTTCCATAGAAACAGTGGAATTTCTTAACTACTGTCAGCTTCTCAAAAACGCCTTTGATGTATGAAGTTTGTTATATCTAATATAAAAATTGAAGCGAAACAAGGGTTAACATGATTCACCGTTGACATGACGAATTCCAGGGTTCTGAAGTATTATACCTTATTGATTTTAATTATAATGTTACTGCTGATAGACTTATTTAATAGCATTTTGCCATATAGATGTAAAGTATCATGTTAAGACTAGTTATCAGCTATAATCAAATCACACTTTTATTTTGTGTTGATACATAGACCTAGGGTCTAATTACCTTACCAGATTTCTTCAAACATCTGTTATTTAAAAATGCATTAATGTTGTCCCCACTCACAAGTTCGCAGTGGCGCTATGTTGGTGTCTTTAATTACTTGGCGTTAAATAGAACCATAATATCATGGCTTTGAATAGCATGATGCTCATCATACCTAGTTGAATCGTATCTAGATTATTGATGTGTTTTAACTGAATTGGAATCGGCTGGGTGGACAGAATGACATCCATTTTGTCACTTATTTGCGTTGTCCATTATTATGGGTTCGAAGTAGTAGATTTTTGAAGATTTCTGTCTTCTGGGTTGTTATCAGGGCCCTGATGACGGAGGCAGTATGACCTCTGAAACGTTGGTTAACATCGACCAGTCTACAGAGCGCAACAACCCAGAAGACAGAAATTTTCATACACACCGCTGTGAAAACTTCAATTCTTACATAGTAGTTTTTTCTTTGAAACCCTGAGGAGAACTGTTGGTAATTCCTTCGCTGTTCTCGTTACTGAGTAAAGAGTATTTTGTTTTCGAAAATTTCATTTCTAGAAGTCCATTTCTGGGCCACTTATAATTGTATGCTGTAATCTGATGACGAAACATGAACATTGTATCCAGTTTCCTCAACGTTTATCTCTATACCATCCTAAAGCATCCTCTTTACTTGCGTCTAGTAGATTTCCTGAAACTTTCTTCAGTCTTTCTGTAAGTGAAGTTAATTTCTCCTTCGTGACGTCCGCTCATACACAGGTCCTGTCTTTGCTGATGGTCGCCGTGGTTACCGGCCAGTACTACGATCAGACCACGCCAGTACCAATCTTGAAGCAGCTTAACAGACATAATGAAGACGGATCTTACAGCTACGGATACGAGGCAGCTGATGGTAGTTACAAGATCGAGACGAAACACCCCACTGGAGAAGTCCTTGGCAAATATGGCTACGTGGATGACACTGGCTCCTTGCGTGAGGTTGAATACGGTGCTAGCAGACGTGGGTTCGAGCCAGCAGGTGCAGGAATCAACGTGGCTCCACCAACACTCACGAACAACAATTACAACCAAGGAAATTCTCTGGGTAGCGATTACGATGATGGCCAATACCGCGAAGATCCTAGTATCTATTACAAGTCCTCCTCGTTTAACAGCGCTCCAAGTAGACCATCGTATCAGAATACCTACCAGTCTCGACCTTCGTACAATCAACAACCTCATAATTATAACCCGGAACCCTCTTATCGAGAGCAATACAACCCCCCACCCCCACCCCCATCGCCACCCCAGCGTCAGTATAGTCAACCTGAACAACAGTACAACCGTCCTCAGCAGCAGTACTACCCAAAAATAGATCCTAACCAATTTCGTGGTCATCCAGCGACCAACTTTGATGTATATTCTGGGTCTTACAGTGTTAATTATTCAGGCTGATGAAAATATATTTCGCAGTTCACGGTTCATAGCAGAACCATCGTCTCAGCTCTGATTTCCGTCAAAACTGAGTACTGAACCAATGGATTGAGAATTAGCCCACTAAAGACGGGATCCTTTGAGCATACACGGTATACATGTTGTTGCTTATAATAAAGATGTGATAAAACGTCAGTCTTGTGTTGAATTCAGTGTCAGCAATGTTTGTTTTCCGTTGCAGGCGAGGGAGAAATCGACATCAATGTAAGGAAATCGGTATTGTGTTAGTCTTCCTGGAGTCTGACATCCCTAGCTAATAACATAATACGCGCCATGTTTAACATAATTTTTCTGTTTTGTATCACATTAGTGAGTCATATGTAAAGTACAATATGTTACAGCGTCTAGATGCATTATGTCTGATCTCTTCTTGAGTTTCTCTCGATTGGTTTACGCCTTTGAAGCAGAAGCACGTCTAAATAACATTTAAGGACTTAGTCCGTACCGCAAAGAAAACACAACACTTCACCGTTACAAAGATCAACTAGTTAACGCTGTTTAATGAAATAATAGGTGTTCCTTTTAAGAAATACACTACTGATCAAAATTATTATTTACAGAATGTGGTACGTACAGTTACCATTGGTTTTAAATAGGTGGAAATTCATAACGTGTCGAAAGTAGGCGATTTGAGACGACAATTATATTCGTTGAAACCAAAATTTTGCTTCATGTTTCAGATAATTTTAACCTAGTCACCCGATACTAATTAAATATTTCCTTCTTATCGTAACCTATACGCGGGAGGTTCAGAGTACAGCTCACGGTATGTAAACGAAGTTTTAATTACTTGTGGTAAGTAAGTAACGCACAATGTAATGACCTTAACTCGAAAGTAAGTGGGGATTAGTGAGTGAATTTGGCGCATTTATGGGGGGGATACGTGGTGAATTCACCTGTCTCAAATCGATTTGAGGACATATTTCACAGTTATTAGCGGCTACCAAGGTTCTTAACAAAATATCTTCATCGTTAATTCATAATATATTATTAATTAATACTGTGCAGCTAACGATCACTTCATGAAATGCCACTCAAGATATAATTTACTTTTGTACACATATTATTGACTGCAGGCATTGTGCTCACACATTGTGATTAAAATATTATTCAGGAAATAAATAACTTGTCTGGGAGTCTACACTAAATTTCTGCTTCTGAATATCTATGTGATAAGTGTATGTCGCTTATAATGCTTGTGATATTATGTTTTCTATATGAATAAACGTTGAAGGTTGAAATAATTTTACTTGTAAAGGAAAACTCTCAGCATTGATCCTGTATTTAATCATTGTGCTATCCTAATCCTTACATGTTATATATATGAAGAGGAATCAATTCTTGTATATACTCATTTCTTTTCTTATGATAATGTAAGAAGTGACTACGTATAAAAATGCCCCAATGCCAAAGAAAGATCATACGTTGTGATTATTGAGGAATGCAACTTTTATTTTATTCATTTTTGATGAAGGACACACCTTTTCTAACCACTCCTAATCTACCAAGGTTCACAGTACTAACCTGAAAGGTTTTTGCTTGGCAGAGAGTCAAAACATTTCATTTTATGAGTCTATTTCTCAGCGTTTTAACGCTTTAGTTAAATAGAGGTACAATACAAAAGTGTTTTTGTTTTTATTGATACGAACTTGTTATATCAGCGTTAGGTCCTTATTCCAGCCTAAGTGTCCTGTAATTGCATTTGTTTACTTAATCCTGTTGACAGAGACAGTAGAACTTCAAGATCAACTTTAATGCCAACCTTCCATCTACATCTAAATCTCCCAACAGGTTTATTCTGTTTTTCTTCCGAACAGCATTTTGAAAAAGTTTCTTGTATTTCTCGGGCTCGCACTATATGCCTCGCAATGCGATGATCGCTCTGATGATGGAGGCAGTAAGTACCTCTGACGTCGGTAAACTTTAACAGACACCACAGCGCAACATCCCAGAAGGCGGCCATCTTAAATTATGTAAATAACCTCTTTAATTTATTGCAAGATTTTCCTTTTGTTTGTTTCTTGTTTTCATTGTTTTGTTGTCAGGGTGTTTCCCAAATGCGAAAGCTCGCCGGTAACCGGATTTACGTTCTTGTCAATATTTATTACAATATTGACTTGTATTTTTATGCGCGTACTGAATGGACTAGGTACTTTAAATTCTAACCCACAAGCTCTCTTATATTATATACATTAATGCCTGTTAAAAAATTAGCTTAAGAACAGTAATGAAGTATTTGAACGTATGTCTAAGATTGCCTTTGCCACAGCTGTTGCAAATGTCTGCCTAATCTTACCTTAAGATTTGTAGGTTTAACACCGGTTAATTCCAAATGTTGACATTGAAAATTACCCTTAATCAATTTAAGTGCTTTTGAGGTTCTAAAGAATCCGTTCAGTCCAGATGTTTACGTAAAGATTTTGTAAAGGTTACGATTATGGATTTTTACACCTACGTCTATCCCCCAAGTTAAATGACTGCTTGTCGACTGGTTATTTAGTATGTTCGCAGCTACTCTCCATATATGGAGACCATCTTCTTAATCTACAACCAGAGAGCGCGTCATGTCGTGGTTACAACGGACACAATTGACCTTTTAACAGTTGAAGCACGTTCTGTGGTCAATTTGTAACTTGCCCATTCTTTGTCTGAGATTTTGCACGAGATATTCACGTATTGTTCTTTAGGGATGGTATCTTGGCTGGGCACAGAACTGATCTTCCAAGTCCGGAATGCTATAAATTTATTGTTTTTTTTTCAACTTCTGTTCTTTCGGTCTGCTGTGTTCCAGTGGGATACATGCACGTAATTTAGAACTGGTTCTTGGACTATGTTGGACATTAAAACTAGAATGTGGCCTTGCATTCCACGGTGTTGCCGTACAACGATGCATATATTGTTGACCAGAGGAGTATCCATTGGGTGGAGGACACAGAAAGTGAATGGTTTTATGCAAAACGGGTATAGATCGCTGATTTTTGAAGCCCTAACGGCAGGGATTATGAATTTGGATGTCTTCTGGGATGTTGCACAGTGTAGTGTGGTAGATATTAGCCGACGTTTAAGCGGGCCTTATTGACATTATTACCGTAGTAATAGTAGGGTGATGATAGAGGCAGAAAAGTCCTCTGAAACGTCGCCCATTATTTGCCATACTACACGATGCTACATCCTAGAACACGAAGACAGGCCTAGGTGTAGGTGGGAGGATAATATTAAAGCTCAGATAAACACGTTCTGAAGAGAAGACTTTAAATCACAAGAAGCCACATGGTCTAGTACCTGATAAAATTATCTTAAGCATGTTATATATTAAAGTTCCAGTCTTTTGTTTCTTAAGTCCAAGTATTGTTTTGTTATCGAACGCGTTCCATATCATCTTTTTTCCTCAGAATACGCAATTATGAATTTTCCAACCATTTTCCTTAGCATACGACACCCGAGCATAATTCTTGAGGTTCTCACGGTTATAAAACATCGACTGTTGTCTCTGGGGTCTGACGCCGTGAATTTTTGTAGCAGGTTACCGTTTCGGAGGAACTTACCGCCACAAACTACGGAATAAATTATGAAGGTACATGCTATACTTTTTTTAAAATATTGGCAACCACTAACCAGATTATAGCATCGTCACAACTCAGAAAACCGTATCAGAAATTTCGGATGAGTATGGTACAAATTTAATACCGCTAATGGAGTTATTCCCGTGATATGTGCATGCTGTTTTACACACACATTAATATAAACGTTTTCTTTTGATTATCCCCTTTGCCTTAATTTTATGAGAATGGAAATGTGTCTTTGTTACACTTTACGCTTAGACTGAAAGGGCCCCAGTCACAAGGATGTATAACATGTTCGTTGTATTTTAACCTCAACAGCCAACCATTCTTTTTTATGAAGGTGGATATTTGTAAGGCGTTTACTGTAATATTGCTTTCACCTTTCACAGCTATTGTCTGTTCGTCTACCTCTCACCTGTGCGGTAATAGCTGTTGTACATAACGGCGATTTGTAAGTTCTTGCACGAGGTGTTTGAGTAATACAGCAATCAAAAAACGTAGTCCGTATGTTTCAGATTCGTTCCTTGTTAATTTGCTTGTCTTCCACGTTCATTTTCGACTTATATTTTACTCATTGTATTACAGGTTTGTCCTCATGTAAATTAATTAACAGCAGAGGTACTTTATTGCAGAAAGTCGTTAGTTAAAAAAGGGCACATGTCTTATAAAGCAAAATTTTGGCCAAGTGCAGAAAAACTGTTTATAATATTTTAGGGGGTTAAAGACATGGAGTAATTGTTTTTCTCAAGACGCATTTGGCAATCGTTTCTTTACCCGTTCATAACCTGAATGATATAATTTTTATTTTGACATGTTCCCTTTTTATCCCCACGTATTCAGTTCTACTCATGGTTGGCAAAACCAGCGAAGAGTCTAAACCGCACAGAAGTATGAATTATTTATCATCTCTCCCATCTCATGCAAAACAACAATTAAAAACTTTATAATAGCCAGTGTCCGTCCAGGGTTTCATTTTTTTAATCACGCTCCGTGTTACACACAATTATTAACCTGTGTAAAATGGAGAACTTATAAGCCAATTATGTCTGTAATTTTTCAGCTTATAATGACGCATTAGCGTCACCTTGAACCAGGTCATTAATGTAACTCCTTTTTGACCAAAGCTGCTGTTGGCATGTTTCGGCTGCCTTACTGTGAAGGTCACGAAGTCTTTTGAAACTAAACATACCAATGAAATTAACGACTACACTTACTATCACACGACACAAATTTTTTCTTTTGTTCTCGCCGTTCAACGCATCAAATATAAATAGGCTTCAAATATTGTGAAGCGTCATGTTTATGGCTATGAAAATCGCGCTAGTCTTTTCGAACATTGATTGAATAAAGTGGTATCTGTATAAGTTTGGGTGTGAGCCGCGTCGAATGTTGATTATTAACCAGTGCTTCGACTAGCATTGCACATTCCACGAAAATTGCAAAGCCGAAGTTATACATTGAACTCCAGTCGCTGAAACAGGACAAAAATTGCACTATTGTAGGTATTAAAATTTAAACTTCATGCACTACAGGCGTGTCAGAGAAGTTGCCGACGTAGGACGGCGCCGAATTATATGGAACAACGAGTGTATAATCAGATTAATAATTTTAACTTTAATACTTTTTTCTCTTCACTGTCGTGATAAATCTGAAAATCTGAAAGAGTACATTTACACGACCTTGGCATAGATGAGAAGAAAATGTTAAAATTGGCTTTAATAAAGTGTGACAGTACGGTCTGAATTAATCTGGCTGGGCTGTTGTGAATATGGTAATGAAACTTTGGTTCTGTGACAGCTGTGAATTTATTGACTGTCTGATAGCAGCTGTTAGGTTCTGAAGGACTCTGCCTCGCAGATTTTAGAGTACACTGCCTTCCAATTTTGATGCGCTACGGTATTAAACGCTAAAGATGGAAATATTCGCTTTTATTTATAGAAATATATCCATGTTTTCTGTCCGCCGATCATGGAAAAAGGATTTTAATTTTCAGACATGTTGCTTCATGATATAATATTGTACATAATTTTGTAAAATGTTAAGTTCTCACGGCAACGAATATGTCTATTATGACTTTTTTTTAATTTTTACCCCGTGTGTTCATATAGGTGGGTACCAATGTTTCGGAGGAACATGCCGCCTCAATTTGTAGGTTGAAGTGACAGTTGTCCCCATTACTCAAACTGTACTGTGATTTATATGAAAACAGTCTACAGTATATCTAAATTGAAGGTACATAATCACAGACATTTTAAAATTATTTAAACTTACGAAACCAGGCTATTGTGATTATCAGTAGAAGACGTGGATATGTAATTGAATTACAAACTTTTTACCCTTCATGCAATGGAGGAGGCCTCTGTTTGTACCGGCGTTGGAAAGTCCTGTAAAATCATCTTGACATTAATCGTATTACCATTTTCCACGAATCAATGTGCGACGTAAAAATTAGTTTTTTGAAAAAGAGTTCCGGTTTTGACGCTATTTCCGGGTGGTCGAGTCACGTGGTTCGTCTTGGCCACGCCTAACGTGACGGGTGATACACCAATAACTGTAAGCCATCTTGCCACAAGGAAACAAGGTCACCAGGTTGATCTGGTTCGACTCAGTGACCACACCCATCTCAAGGTCATCACTGGACAGTACTTCATGGTCACTTCTCCTCTCACACGGTGATTCTC